CACCGCGTGCTGCCACGCAGCAGCGCGCCCGCAGGCGCTGATGCCGCTGTTCAGCGCCACGAGCTTCGGCAGCAGCGCGGCCGCCTCAGCCTGGCGCTGGGTTTGCCATGGACAGCGGGTTTTGCAAAAAGGACTCGGCACTCGCCATTGTTTTTGTTTTTGGAGGAGTTCAAAGGAAACCCCCTCCCCAAAAGGAAAAAGTAGGGCACCGCTGGAGGTCTAGTCCAAGCGCCAGTTTCGGGTCAAAACCCACTTTTGACGGAAGAACCCCCAAAATATCTAGAAATGGGGAGACCCCCGAATTCCAACATGAAATTGTTGGTAATGTGTAGTGAGCTTCCATTTAGAGTATCTGGCACAAGGATTCAGGACTGGTTCTGAGCAAGTATTTAAAGGGGGTCAACGACTTGGCAGGAGAGTTTCAGACTACCATCCTGTTGAAGAGGCCCCGAATGTCCGCTTCCAGTGGACAACGGGTAGCAAGACTGCTCGTGGGGGAAACCAATGGAAACCACATGTCGCCTCAAAGGCCCTGCCCAAGGAGCCCGAAAGCAACCTCCCAAGAAACCCGCACTTGCGCTCCTTGCTTTTTCGCCTTGGCATAGGGACTTTACCTTCTCAGATTGGCCATGGAGACATGATGTCAAGAGGTCCTTGTCTTTTGCCTATGGCCAATCTTCAAAGTTTTTCAGGGCAATTCAACTCAATCAACAAGAGACATCTTAAATTGGTATGTCCGCAAAACATACACACACACACACTCACTTTAAGCCCCACTTGTACATGAGAACCAAGGAGAAAACCACACGTGGTCTCATGCACAAATGGCACGCATCAAACAGCGCAACTAGTGGTCCCGGGGCGAATAAGCAACAGCAACCCGGGCCTCCTGCAGCAAGTGCAAACCCCATCGCCACTTCTGCTTTGCGACGGTGCAAATGGCAGAGGTGTAGTTGTCCTGAGCATTCAACCCGTTGGTAAACAGCTCCTCCCCAATCAGCCTGATAACCCCAACCTTCAGTGGCTAAAGGACACTCAACACAGTCGCTTTGGTTGACTTGGAAAGAACAAAAGAACAGCAACGGTGTGTCCATAGATCCTGCTAGCGCTGTAAAAAGCTCATGTGTGTACAGGTATACACAAATTCACACGACATATGCTATGTAATTACGCAAAGGGCGAAGCCTGAATACATGATGGGCAATGGGCATAATGGGCACAAGACAAGCGGGATCCAGTGTCTCTCAAGCGTACCTGAACTTAGACATGGACTCCCAAGAAATGCCCCTTCCAGGTTTGTTGGCAAGCTCTGCAAATGGATGTGTCCAGACGGAAAGAAAAATCCACTGGGCCCCCACTTCTGCCCTCAAACGACTCCTAAGCAGCGAGTTCTTGCATTTTCTGGCATTTGCGGTAGACTCATTCAGCGAGTTCCCCCCATACCCCTCCCACATGACCATGCACGGACAGTCTGATCAAGCCTCACATTGCTTCAGAAAAGGCCCCAAGAAGCCACCCTGAGCAGCGGCAACGAGCAGCAGCCAGAACCTTTGGTAGCCATGGGAAGATTTCTATTGGAGTGGAAAGTAGAGCAAAGCTTCCCTGTGGAAGGAGCGTTCGTGGAAGTCTCACACAAAATAATTTAAAATCCGCAAGACGCCAGTCGAGCGTGTAGATGGCAGTCCGCAACTTGGTCTTCCTTCGGAATCTCTTATCAAAGCCGAAGGCTTTTGGGACTGCTACTTTTTGGGCATGCTGTGCTAGGTGTCTAAAACCCTGTATTTTTCCAGTGAATTTTGGGTCTTTCGTGCTAAAAACCTACGGATCGTCTACCCCCAGCATCAACAGGATTATCTTGTCGCCATGATTTTGTCTCATTTTTTGCAGATACTTGTTCTTTTGCTGTTTCAAGCGATGTTGGAATTGGCCTGTTAGGGGGTTTGGGCGGGGCCAAGTACAGTGATACTTTGAGGAACTGTTGAAATTTGCAAAAATGGGTGATTTTTGCAATTCCCCCACCTGTACGGAGCAGTTGTCTATTTTTAGGGTGTTTGAGGGGGGTTGTTAGTATCGGTTTTTGATGGTTGCTTTTGGGAAATATCGAGCAACCCGGGTTTGTTGCACCTTTTTGTTGCTAGCCGGCTGCATTCCCAGCATTCCCCACATCTCTGGTAGTTTCTGTGTTTGGTCAATTAAAATCTTGAGCGCAAAGATTGGGTCAGTTCCTGTAAGTTGTGTGGTTGCATCCCTTGCATTTCCAGCATCCTCAGCATCTGGGACATGAAAAACAGGAAAGTGCCAAGAAGGCCTTGTTGTACTTACAAAAAAATTGGGGCCTCGCTCTTATACCCTTTCGGGGGGTGGTTTAAAGAGTAGACCCTAGTGTTCTTCTCCTGTCACGTGTTCAGCCCTGCGGCCGAAGTCAGAGCGGCGTTGTTTGCATTCTAAAACATCTTTTTCCCTACCCCAAATTTGAGGCAACCTTTCCCTTCCACGTGTCAAGAGCCCATCTGACCAGGCTTCTTGCTTACCCCAAATTCAAGACACCTCAGAGCGGCGTCGTTTGTTCTCCTTCCACGCGTTAAGACTCCCATGTACCCCCAAATTCAAAGTACTTTGCAGCCGACGCCAGAGGGGCGTTGCTTGTTCTCCTTCCAGGCATTAAGAGACCCATGTGACCTAGGCAAAAAGACGTCTTTTTCCCTGCCCTAAATTCAAGGCACCCTGCAGCCGACGTCAGAAAGGTGCTGTTTGTGTTCTCCTTCCACGCGTTACGAGCCAGCGAGCTGACTTTGTGCAGCGCTGGTCTGGCAATTGTCCCTTGAGCCAGTGCTGACTCCAGATTGATCAACCCCAGTTTATTAATAGGGGACTGTCCACTGGCGTCGGCGGATCGCGTAGCGATTTCAACAATCACTTCTTGGCTCATGTCTCATTCAGCGCCAGTTTTCCCTAGTCGTCTTCAAGTCGCAAAAGCACGAAGAGTCACCATGGACAAGCCTCAGTTTTCCCCAGCGTGACGCTTTTTCAGAAACCTGGATGGGGTCCCTCCAGCTTTCAGGTCGGAAACCCAAAGAGAAAGGGATTTAGGCCCTCGACTTCCCGTCCGAGGCGCCGCTGTGGCGCCTCTCCGCTTCGCCTTGTGCAGCAGAAGGATGGACAGCGTCCAGTCCATGCGCGGCTTCCGCGACATTGCGGGTTCCGCGAACCCGCGAGGGAAGCGGACGCTTCGGAAGTGGAAGTGTCTGGTCGGTCGCCAGGGAACGTGGATTGTATGAACAAACACATCCCACGAGTGGTTGAGGAAGGAAAAGCCACCCTAAACACCACTTGAGTGGATGGGCCAAAACTGTCTGAACTCTTTGTGCCTCGAGACGGGTCTTCCAGTTTAAGCATAGAGTCCAGGAACTCGGTGCGTCAAACCCAACAAAAAAAGAGCACTGTAGTTTTCCGGAGCTTGGACTTGTTGACTCCTCCCAGCAAGAAACAGTGGGAGCACTTAACACGCAGCAGCCTGGAAAGGGATGCCACCCCTTTGTTTGAAGGGAAAACACCAGGGGCCTGAAAAGGCTTTCATTCGGGTTACCACTCTCTCATTGTTGGAAGAACAAAAAGCACGGGTAACCTGCCTGAAAAGAATGGCTCTGTGCGCTTGCCTTTCCGCCAGCTGCCATTGAAAACACAACCCCGGGCTTCGCCAGTGCAGCAAGCCCGAAACAGCCGTCGAAAGAGGCGTCACATGCGCTCAATCACTGCTGAATGTGTGTGTGTGTGTGTCAAACGGGGTTGGATCTTTGAATGGCGACTTCAAAGAAAACGTAACAGACCCCCGTTGGAGGGTTTTCTGGGTTCGCCTCGTGACAAAGGGCTCAACGCACCGATGTCTGGTGGGTATCCCCGATGTATCCACCCCGAACAACACCTGCATTTCAACAGTTCTAATGGCCTTTGTTGCGGCAAACAAATCAGGGAGACAGTGTTCCGCCGGGGCGGTGGTTGAGCACGATATGTTTGCACCCTCGCCTCCCCTTTTCTTTTCACCCGTAGAGCTCAGGGCAACGAGAACCAACGACAACTTGCAGGCCTGGTTTCATGTATGGTGGACATAGTCTGCCTCTGATGAATCTACCAAGAAAAAGCTGGTTCCCGGATATTGAACGACATCTACTTTCCTGCAAGATAACCGGGCAACAACAATTGCTACATTCATGGGTTCTGGCAAATGATTGGAACCAAACTGACATCAGTGCCATCCATTTTCAGCCAGACTGACCTAACACGGGCCATGCTCACAACCAGCCACAGCGCCACTTCTGCAAATGAGGGATCTAGCCAGCTTGAGACTAGTCGCTTAACGGAACAACTCTGAAACCGGGCTTCTTTACCCAAGGGCTTGACTTGAACCAAAGAGGGAGCAACCCCTCCGAAAGAAGGGCGGAATTTTCTTAAGTCAAAAGTATGAGCCCATGTGTGAAACCCAAGACCTCTGGTTGCTGGCAAACAAGTATATCTTTTTGATATCCCAGGGCACTGAAAAAGGAAGCCGCTACCCAACCTTCTACTGCGCCATCAACAAAAAGATGCAGGGAAACCCGTCTCACGGCTCCTATGGGTATGGGTCAAAATCATACCGCCAAAGGACCGGGGTTCCATTTTGGTTACCTACTTTTGACCCACAGCCATATCTCCCCTTTAAACATGACCCCGGCAAAAGTAGACTCGCCTTAAAAGGGCCAAAAAGGCGGTGTTCAAAGCCAACCTTTATCTTGGCCCGCATTTGGGGATCACTGAAATAATATGCTCTGACTCATGGTGTTTCTCAAAATAGGGCGTTCAATGGTTGGTGTCCTTTGGGTTTCCCAGAAACAATGCCAACTCCAACTAAAGCAGGGCTCACTATTTTGAGACGTGTTTGGTCCAGCCTGAAATGGAAGATGTTCTGGAGACCCCAAGAGGAAACTCGGGAGCCTTGCGATTTCGAACCGATCTGGGTGCCGCACAAGTACCCGACACCCATCTCCTAGCCGGCAAGGACTTCCCCGGACCCCTAGACCACACCCAGATCCTGCCACTGGAAACCCTTTGAGCCGGTTTGTTGTGCAAAAGAAACAATAACTCATTCATGCTTATTCGCAAAAAAGCCCGCTATATTTACCCCTTATTTACTAAACGGGTATGGTGCAAAAGGTCATGGTGTAAAGACCTTCACAATCGCCGCTAGAGGCTTGGTTGGTTCATTTCGGTCTCAGAGACTTCTGGGCTGGCAAAATATCCCAGACATCCAGCGGACTTCCATGGGGGGAAACAAAACAACAAGACCGTTTTTGGTCTGAAACTCCAACCCAACTCTCAAAAAGCGAAAACAGGAGAGACTATTGGAGTTCTGGGAAGTGGAGGCCAATCCCAAATTGAGAATTCGTAAAACACGCGACCTGGTTTGGAATACCCGGAATTTGAAATCGCTACCGTCCAAACTTTCCAATGGGTCTTTTGCGAGGTCTTGACAGTGGTGTCGCGAGTGCACGTGCCATGCACCCAACTTGGCATTGTCTGATTTGTTTCATACTTAGTCTACCCTAAAAACCGGCAAGTCGAAGCTTTTGCCCAGAAAACGGGGGGTTTTCAAGTCTGGCTCGGTGGATGTATGGTCCCGGGCTCCGGGTTCCCTCCCCCCCCCACCCCCCCCCAACCCCCCCCGCGCCCGGACAAGCCAAGCGGGGAACGGACTGGGAATCATGGGGGGGAAGGGTGCGCCGGCAGATCAGAACGAATACGGCTGATTTCCGTTTGGCTCCCACATGGGTGGCCGCCCTGTTCTTGGACAATAATTACGCCCCAAACAGGGTTTCCAACACTGGCCGCTGGGAGTCTTCATTTAATTTCGAGGGCCGAGAGGGGGGGTTTCCGAAGTACCTCACTGGACCCAAATGCCACATGGAGAGTCATCTAGAGGAAGCTCGAGGGATGGACATGTGCGATGGCCGGCTTCTTTGTCATGGTGAATCGAGCTTGCAGGACACCGTTGCCATTTAATGGGGACCACTATTTGGGTGCGTCCAATCTTCAGGGGAGCCCACAAATGGTGAACATTCCCGATAGAACAACCCAGAAAGGGGTACCGCACCTCAAAAACAGACAGACACATTTTTAGAAACCACCCAACGATTCCCACAGGCCAGAAAAAGCATTGATTTGAGTTGGCCCCATGGCAAAGAGAGAGCCGCAGGGAAAAAAACCTTGACTGGATGAAATATGTCTCCGACAAACGGGCTTGTGTTGGGGTATAGTTTTGTGCTTGGTTTTGAAGGGAAACCCAAAGGAAACCAAGCATTGTTTGGGTCTCCCTATTTTTGGCGCATACCCAAGTCAACTTTGTCCAAAGGACAGGCTACTCCCGTGCCATCCAAACCCGTCGATCAGAATCCCAAGAAGCTTTCCTTGGCGCTTGCGGTAAGCGAGCACACGGTTGTGGAAAACACGGTTCTGGGACCAACTTCTGTGACGCAAAGAGGACCCCCTTCAAAGTGACAAAGTAGACATGGGAAGGACTAATGACCCATATTGGTATCACAGAATGGTGTTCCACAACACGTGAACTTGCACTTGACATGGCTTTCCCTAGTCCAAGTCGAGGAGGATTTTCTCTGAAACACCCCCACTAACATGGAACCGGGCCTTTGAGGAATGTTCCAAGATCCCGGTTCCATGTTCGAAATGCAAAATTGCCCTAAGGAGTTCACAGGTGAGCGGATGGCCCAAAAACCAGTCAATACTTTTGCTTGCCACTACGGTCTTTCCAACACGTCAAGTCCCTTTTCGCTCACGGGGATGTCTCAGGCAAAAGCCGCACTTGTCATGGCCCCCGCCGTCCTTCAGGAAAGTATCCCAGTCTCCTTGAGCCTTCGAGGCTTTGAGCAAGATTTTTTCAGCGCATGCCTTTTTGAGAATACCCCTCCCGTGATGAAAACAAATCCTTTCATAGGCGGTCTCACAAGGGATGCTCAAAAAATGTCCTACATGGGCCAATCAATAAAACCGACAAGAGAAACAAAGGGGGCCCTTGTACACCCTGCAGCTCTCAGGCGGTTTTGGAGGATGGGGTTTCATTTACTGCACACTGCCTCATATGGGACCTATGGATGGGTTTGTCTCCTTTCTTCCAACGCGTATACCTGAAAATGATTTTGTCACAACGAAGCACTGCATGACCCCCAGAACTACTACACCCCCCCCCCCCTCCCCAATCAATCTTGAGGCCCTATGGCCTTGCCCCCCCCACTAATTGTTGTTCTCCCTTTGCAAACCGAGTCCCTATTCCATCACAACCTTCTGAAACAGGCTCAGCCAGGGCATGATGATTGCAAACCCGAGGAGTTGAGCTGAGCGAATCCCGCCTGGACACATCGATTTCCACTGAGGCAAATCGGAGTGGGTGCACCGGCTGGAAACAGTCGTCAGGTCTCACATTCACCATAGACAATCCACTCACTTCCTGAGTGGGGCAATTTTTTGGCGATAATTTTTCAACAAACAACATAGTTTCTAATGATAGCTGATTGAGCACTTTCCACCCCATTCCTTTTTGCTACATGGTCATAAAAGCAACTGTTGCCCAGGTCTATATGAACCCTCAACCTCGCATCATTAAAGGGAAAGCAACATAACCCGTTGGCCCACGCTCTCGTAACCCTTTGGCAACATGATTTCCATTTGGAGATCCCAATCTCAGAAATGCTTTGGGTGCCAACACGTAAGCCACCTCCGCTTCTCTCTTCCGGCCTCCACCATTTTCCACTCGCCAGAGAAGTCTGGCCGGCCCTTGTCCTCCAATTCCAACCTCATCGCTCGGGCTTCTCCGACGTATAGTGCTTTTCTCACCGAAGCGAGTGAGAATCTTGATGGGTCCGGGATCCTTTGGTGGACATACGATTCATAACCACCACCCGCTGTGGAGGTCGTGCCCTATTGAAATTCATAACCACCTGCGACCAGGTTCGTGCTTGAAACTCCGGGGCTAGAAGCCAAGAGCGGAAACTGGACAACTTCACAAGTTTCGACTTTAAAATAAGCAAAACAAGTCAGTTGTGTGGGCTTTGGGAGTCTAGTCTTTGCATACTTCGTCCATGGAAGGGATTCACACGTTGGTTGTGCCTTACCACACATACACAACTCAAATGTACCCAACACCAGTGTCAAAGCAAGTTGAACCCGGTGGATGACTTTGATTGGGAAAACAATGAAATCTAATGGACCCGCGTTTAGTGGGTTCTACGCAGGAGCCCACTTCGGCATCCTGCTCCTTCAAGTCACCGAGCATTGCATCCAATGGCCCTCGGCCCCCAGGCTTGTCGTTGGGAGTGAGAGGCCTGGCTGCTCGAAAGAACTCGGATTCGGGTTCGTCCAAAGCATCGATTTGCCAACGGTAAAAAGGTGTCGGTCAAACCAAAGCATCTTCTCTTCGCTGGGGGACATGTTACCCCAACGCTAAAGCTGCAAGACCCAACCAAGTAGCAACAAGAAAACACGGGCCAGCCAAGCCAGCTTCAGTGAGAGGAGAGCCACTGTTTGCTCCTGCTCAAGGAGCGTAAGGCGTAAGGAACTGCCAACCACCTGGTACATCGTGGCACCGAGAAAGCACACATCTGCCTTCAAACGCCCCGGAGAAACCCGACCGAGACGAACAACTCACATGTCGAGCATGAAACAGGCTCACACCAAGTCAGCTTCGAGACAATTGAACATACTTCGGACATTCTACAACTCCTGGAAAACCTCCTCGCAAGGCTAATACTACTGCAGATCAATACGGAGCCCCGAAAGACGCCATGGTTTTCGGAGAAAGGCACCCCTCGTGTAACTTGGCTCCAGGTCAGTTGGCGCCAAACAAACGTGGCACGACGCAACTAGGACTTTTCGTCGTCTCCCTTCCTGTTGTCACGACCTTTCAAATCCTTTTCGGGATTGTTTTCCGATTTTTCCTCGGCAATCTTTCCCGTGTTTCTGCTCTGGCCTGGTTTTTGCAGTTGTCTCGGGAGTTCGGGAAGGGTGGACGCAAACTGACGGTGATTGCTTAGTTAATCTACAATCTTACAAAACGTTGTAAAACATGAAATTGGACTATTAAACGTTCATCCTGCAAAAGAAGGTATCAGAACCAGACCAGACCTTGGACGGAAGCCTTAGGTAGATCTTTTTGGGGGTAGGCCGTTTGCTACCACCACCGAACACCGAAAGGGGTGGACACAAAACAAGACCAACCAATCAATGCCGAGAGGCGCTCCATGCGAAGTTCCATATTTTGCTCCCCAAGGCAGTCAGGGGTTGTGAACTTCCCAACAATAGGAGTTTCAGTTTAAGTCTGCCTCGGGGTAGTCGTAAGGAAGCAACCTGGTTTCATACATATTTTACCCTCGCCTCTCGAGTTGCTCAAGTTGAAGGAGCTGTTCGTCCTCGGGAAACCTCGGGACGCGGATTCGCTTTGATAAGCGAGCTGAGCACGTTCCCATGGCGTGTTTTAACCTACGCAACCCAAGGTCAAAATCGTGGCTTCTCTTTAGCCCCCCCCAACAGAAACCACTCCAAGCATAGTAGCGACACCTTTGCTTGTGGGACAAATGTTGCCAATGAGGCCAGGAAGTTGGTCAGCTCCTGGCCCTTGAACACCCTGAGCATTGTGCAAAGCCCTTTGCAAGTCCCACTGGGAAACTGCAACCCAGGCATGCAGGCGGCACATTTGGCCAGGCCTCCAGGAGGAAAAACAAAGGAGTGTTTGTTTGAGGGACCCCCCCCAAAAAAAAGAACAGTAGGAAGCAAATGCTGGTTTTCCTTTTGGTTCCCGTTTCAACACCAACCAAAAAGAGTACCCTCAAAAACGACAAACCCATATGGCTTCTCCGGTCGTCTGCCTTTGTTCATGGAGCCCCAAAAGCGGGTCGATTCATTCCCAGGAGCTTTCTCTACTCAGAAGGTTGGGCTCCATGTGCAGCAGAGCAAGCCGTCGAAACATGCTCCCATGGACATGGCAAGAGTAGGTTTCCTCCTGGTTTTCGTGGCGGACATTGACATTTGAGTCCACGCATATCCTAAACTCCAGATCAACCTACTTTGACCCAACCTAGCAACCCAGGTGAATTTTGTGTCGGGCCCCGTTTGTTGCCAGTTCTGCACCATCAAGAATTGGTTGACGCTTGATGGTTCATGCATGTACCCTTCGAACAACACGTACATTAATCGAAAGTTACATGCCTCCAGAATAGACAAATTGTCAAGTCAATCGAGCCCTGCTCAAAAGCCACGCTTTGCTGTTTGCAGGCAGGGGTTATCGCAAAGTTTTCTTGGCTTGGGGGTTCCATTCCTCCTGGTTTGGAAAGCAAACGCACCAAACAGTCCATGTGCCAAATCCAAAGCCAACATCCGAATGAGAAAACAAGTGTGCCACGGTCGAGACCCCAGTCGATATCAGAAACTGAGTGAGTACATGTCCTTCGTTGAGGGTATGAACCCATTTGCAGTGGGCTCAAACAACAAGAGATGAGAGTGGAATCCACGGAAATGGGAAAACTCTGAGCTCCAAACAAATCTTTTTGTGACCGCACACGCGCAACCGTGTTTTCTCCCCAGTATCAACCTGCAGTTGAATTGTGAATATTTGGTCGATTCACTAAGCTGAATGGAATTCCGAAAGAATCCTTTGCGAGATCCAAACATTTCGTCAATCAAATGGCCATCCTAAAGCTTGGCCAATGTTCAAACCTCTACCATCATTTAGTAAAAGGCACTGACCCGTAAATTCTACAATATTCGCAAAATCTGACATGCAGAATTGGACCCCTGGACTTGCTCGCCCATTGGCAGAGCGATGCAAGGTGTGCGCATGTCTTTTTCAGGTACCTGTTTTCGGTGTTGAAGGAAAACCAGAAGAGAAACCACCAGTGAGGCGCCGGGCGTGTCCACAATCTCGATCTCTTCGAGCCTCCAACTCGACTGGATGTTTTTTTTGCATTTCAAATAAAGTAATGTCAAACTCCTGGTGGTTTCAATTGAACTGCCACTAGAAGAGGATGGAGGAAACCCAGTCGACACTTGGGAGGAACACGCAAACACCCAAGGGCAACGGACTGACATGTGCAAAAGAACAACTTTGCGACTTTTGCGGTTTGCTGCAGGTGCTCGGCCCTAGGGCGGACCCAGCACACCCTGGGCTGCACGGACCCCAGTTCCGCTGGGTGATGCGTCTGGTGAACCGGCCCTTCTTACGATGAAAGTGAAAAAGCAGCCCGAATTGTGCTACTTCGTGCTGCCACTTCAAAAACAAGCCAAGTTCCAAGTTGCTAGGACTTAATTGGATACTTTTTCGGGAAAAGATAAACGCATATGCCCAGGGGTTCGTTCCCCGGAGCACCAAAAGGGGAGCATATATTCAGTCTGCGCTTCGGCTCATAGCTACCCGCGCACGCATGTTGCCAATGATTTTTTGGCACATGAGCGTGCGTTCTGACAAAGGGGTGTGTGCTTTGTCAAGGTCATTGGACAAGTTTCAAGAACCAAAAGCAAGCCTTTGTGACGCATACCGTGCCCCATATGAGCAGCGGACTGAGCGGACTGAGCGCACTATGCTTACCCATAGCCTTCGAGGGTTGCCGTCACCCCCGAATCACCCTTGTCCTGCCCAGGGAGTCCATTTAGGGTTTAGTTTAGGTTTAGGGCTTGGGTTCAGAGTTAAAGTTCGGGGTTCAATTTTTGGGGTTCAGGTTTAGGGTGTAGGATTAGGAATTAGGTTTACGGTTCAGGGTGTAGGTTTAGATTTAGGGTGTAGGTTTAGGCTTCAGGCTTCGGGTTTAGGTTTAGGGTGTAAGGGTAGGGTTAGGTTCAGGGTTTAAGCTTTCGATTTTACGTGGCACTCTGCAGGCAAGCTGCTAGTGCATGTCTTAGAAGCTCTCAAAGTATCGGCTAGCTTGGT